TACGACCAACACATATACCACATGATTCTACATAGCAGAATTGAGGACCAACACATATACCACATGATTCTACATAGCAGAATTGAGGACCAACACATACCACATGATTCTACATAGCAGAATTGAAGACCAACACATACCACATGATTCTACATAGCAGAATTGAGGACCAACACATACCACATGATTCTACATAGCAGAATTGAGGACCAACACATACCACATGATTCTACATAGCAGAATTGAGGACCAACACATACCACATGATTCATCGTAGCAGACATTGGTTACCAAGACACATACCACATGATTCATCGTAGCAGACATTGGTTACCAAGACACATACCACATGATTCATTGTAGCAGACATTGGTAACCAAGACACATACCACATGATTCATCATGGCAGACATTGGTTACCAAGACACATACCACATGATTCATCGTAGCAGACATTGGTAACCAAGACACATACCACATGATTCATCATGGCACACATTGGTGACCAAAACACATACCACATGATTCATTGTAGCAGACATTGGTTACCAAGACACATACCACATGATTCATCATGGCAGACATTGGTTACCAAGACACATACCACATGATTCTACATAGCAGACATTGGGGACCAAGACACATACCATGTGATTCTACATAGCAGACATTGGGGACCAAGACACATACCATGTGATTCTACATAGCAGACATTGGTTACCAAGACACATACCACATGATTCATCGTAGCAGACATTGGTAACCAAGACACATACCACATGATTCATCATGGCACACATTAGGGACCAAGACACATACCACATGATTCATTGTAGCAGACATTGGTTACCTAGACACATACCACATGATTCATCATGGCAGACATTGGTTACCAAGACACATACCATGTGATTCTACATAGCAGACATTAGGGACCAAGACACATACCACATGATTCTACAGAGTAGACATTGGGGACCAACACATACAAAATGATTCTACATAGCAGACATTGGGGACCAAGACACATACCATGTGATTCTACATAGCAGACATTGGTTACCAAGACACATACCACATGATTCATCGTAGCAGACATTGGTTACCAAGACACATACCACATGATTCATTGTAGCAGACATTGGTAACCAAGACACATACCACATGATTCATCATGGCAGACATTGGTTACCAAGACACATACCACATGATTCATCGTAGCAGACATTGGTAACCAAGACACATACCACATGATTCATCATGGCACACATTGGTGACCAAGACACATACCACATGATTCATTGTAGCAGACATTGGTTACCAAGACACATACCACATGATTCATCATGGCAGACATTGGTTACCAAGACACATATAACATGATTCTACATAGCAGACATTGGGGACCAAGACACATACCACATGACTCTACATAGCAGACATTGGGGACCAACACATACAAAATGATTCTACATAGCAGACATTGGTTACCAAGACACATACCACATGATTCTACATAGCAGACATTGGTTACCAAGACACATACCACATGATTCTACATAGCAGACATTGGTGAGCAAGACACATACCACATGATTCTACATAGCAGATATTGGGGACCAAGACACATACCACATGATTCTACATAGCAGACATTGGTTACCAAGACACATACCACATGATTCTACATAGCAGACATTGGGGACCAAGACACATACCATGTGATTCTACATAGCAGACATTGGTTACCAAGACACATACCACGTGATTCATCATGGCAGTCATTGGTTACCAAGACACATACCACATGATTTTACATAGCAGACATTGGGGACCAAAACACATCCCACATGATTCTACATAGCAGACATTGGGGACCAACACATACAAAATGATTCTACATAGCAGACATTGGTTACCAAGACACATACCACATGATTCTACATAGTAGACATTGGGGACCAACACATACAAAATGATTCTACATAGCAGACATTGGGGACCAAGACACATACCACATGATTCATCGTAGCACACATTGGTTACCAAGACACATACCACATGATTCTACATAGCAGACATTGGTAACCAAGACACATACCACATGATTCATCATGGCACACATTGGGGACCAAGACACATACCACATGATTCATCGTAGCAGACATTGGTAACCAAGACACATACCACATGATTCATCATGGCACACATTGGTGACCAAGACACATACCACATGATTCATTGTAGCAGACATTGGTTACCAAGACACATACCACATGATTCATTGTAGCAGACATTGGTTACCAAGACACATATAACATGATTCTACATAGCAGACATTGGGGACCAAGACACATACCACATGATTCTACATAGCAGACATTGGGGACCAACACATACAAAATGATTCTACATAGCAGACATTGGTTACCAAGACACATACCACATGATTCTACATAGCAGACATTGGGGACCAAGACACATACCACATGATTCTACATAGCAGACATTGGTGAGCAAGACACATACCACATGATTCTACATAGCAGATATTGGGGACCAAGACACATACCACATGATTCTACATAGCAGACATTGGGGACCAAGACACATACCACATGATTCTACATAGCAGACATTGGGGACCAAGACACATACCACATGATTCTACATAGCAGACATTGGGGACCAAGACACATACCACATGATTCATCATGGCAGTCATTGGTTACCAAGACACATACCACATGATTCTACATAGCAGACATTGGGGACCAAAACACATCCCACATGATTCTACATAGCAGACATTGGGGACCAAAACACATCCCACATGATTCTACATAGTAGACATTGGGGACCAACACATACAAAATGATTCTACATAGCAGACATTGGTTACCAAGACACATACCACATGATTCTACATAGCAGACATTGGGGACCAAGACACATACCACATGATTCTACATAGCAGACATTGGTTACCAAGACACATACCACATGATTCTACATAGCAGACATTGGGGACCAAGACACATACTACATGATTCTACATAGCAGACATTGGGGACCAACACATACCACATGATTCTACATAGCAGACATTGGGGACCAAGACACATACCACATGATTCTACATAGCAGACATTGGGGACCAAGACACATACCACATGATTCTACATAGCAGACATTGGGGACCAAGACACATACCATGTGATTCTACATCGCAGACATTGGGGACCAAGACACATACCACATGATTCTACATAGCAGACATTGGGGACCAAGACACATACCATGTGATTCTACATAGCAGACATTGGGGACCAAGACACATACCACATGATTCTACATAGCAGACATTGGGGACCAAGACACATACCACATGATTCTACATAGCAGACATTGGGGACCAAGACACATACCATGTGATTCTACATAGCAGACATTGGGGACCAAGACACATACCACATGATTCTACATAGCAGACATTGGGGACCAAGACACATACCATGTGATTCTACATAGCAGACATTAGGGACCAAGACACATACCACATGATTCTACATAGCAGACATTGGGGGCCAAGACACATACCACATGATTCTACATAGCAGACATTGGGGACCAAGACACATTCCACATGATTCTACATAGCAGACATTGGGGACCAACACATACAAAATGATTCTACATAGCAGACATTGGTGACAGAGACATACCACATGAATCTACATAGCAGACATTGGTGACCAAGACACATACCACATGATTCTACATAGCAGACATTGGGGACCAAGACACATACCACATGATTCTACAAAGCAGACATTGGGGACCAAGACACATACCATGTGATTCTACATAGCAGACATTGGGGGGCCAAGACACATACCACGTGATTCTACATAGCAGACACAGAAGAAATTGGGGCAACCAACATACCTATGGCATACCACATGTCTGACAGTTAACATGGTGACAAAAGGTGTTAAATTCCAAGTCACTCACCGACTCACCCCCAGTGCAGAGATCTGGGAACCAACACACATATCATCTTAGGACACAAAGAATCAAGTGGGGGACTTACCTCCATATGAGCGTATGGAGGAGTTAATAGGGAACTAACCACCTTACTAAGTGACTTCATACAAACAGAATCACTTTCATCCATCTGCTGGCAGTGCACACACACAAAGCCAACTGCTCACCCAGGGAATTGCACACATGGGGTGGAGGTAATCTTTCACATCGATTCTCTGAACTTTAGGAGCAATTACTGGTCCAATTATTACTGGCAGTTATATGACATTGGTGCAGATAGCCAACATCAGAGCCCTCCCTGTCTACTTATCTGTTGTTATCTTAATTACACAAAGCTTAGTTCAGGTAGTCTGCATTCTTTGAAGATGCTTCAGATGCTTGATCTATATTTTCTTTTTACCTGCCTCTTGCTGGCACTCACCGATCAAGTATTTTAGCAGGAGAACTCAGTTTTGCCAGGGGTTGGATACAAAGTGATGGCTATTGCTCCAACGTTCGTATTGCAATTTTTTGCAATAATGATTCATGTATTGGGATATGTACCAAAATGTGTTGCATGTGTTCTTTCATCTGTAATTTATTATGATCCTGAATAGATATTACCCAAATAACTTGAAATTTTTCCCTATTTCTGTACTGAAAGTTGACAGTTTGCACACTGCAATGTTATCTTTGGTTTTCTGATCATGGTTTCTTTTTTAAGACAGAAATGGTCCCCTGCACATTATTGACAACTTTGTAGTGGTCCACCGACCATGGATAATAAAGACAAATCTGGGTTCCAACTAAAAACCAGCATTCTGACATAACCAGGGGAAACAACTCTGCACAGTCAACAAACTGTTGAGACATTTCTGCCCCATAATATATATGAGAATAAACTTAATGGGAACAAGATTCTTTTGAAATAGACTTCTATGCTTGTTGTTTCAAATGTTTACTTATCTTTGTAGATTGGATGAAGATGGTAAAGTTCTCACCCCAGAAGAAGTGCTTTACAGAGTAAGCAAAATCCATTATTATCCCCCGCCCAACAAAGTTGGCGGGGGATATAGAAACGGGCTCCGTCCGTCCGCCTGTTAGTTTCCTTTCCGGGGCATAACTCAGAAACAGTTCAATATTTTTTCATGAAACTTTGCAGGTCTGTCAGGTACATGTTGAACTGGTACCTTTTGCTATTTAGAAATTTTGGAAATTTTTATTTTTTACCTTTCCATGGCAACAAGATGGACTTAGGCTCAAAACTCTTCTTTTTTTTACAATTTCCATGATAAGTTCCACCTCGGTTAAAAAAGGTTATGGTTTGTTTAATTTAATTATGTCATAAATTCTGCAACAGGGGTGGGGGATATAGCCACGTTAGTGGCAAACTCTTGTTTTAATTATCAATTCTCCATTATTTTTGCACCTCAGAAAGATATTCAGCAGTGAATATATATGGTTGAAAGAAAAATAAATCTTTCTCTGTCACTTGTTTAAAGATGATGCCAGAGAATGATATACTTTTTCCTGCATGTCAGTCAATTTGTCTTTTTTATTGCCAGTAAAAAACCCAAAAGCAATTCAAATTTCCAATGTCACATGAAGCATACTCTGTTATCCATTAAATATAATGCTTGACAACTGACATTGTATTAAAGTCTCGGTGAAATGTGTTTGTTGGTATTCTTAGTGGAAAAAATAGAAAAGGGTTTCTTCATCACTTTTATTTTCAATAAAAAATATAAATATGATCCTACTGCCCACCTAGCTTTTGAAAAAAATGTGCACAAGAATCATTGAAAACATTTTATGCAGCCAAAGTGGAAGTGCAATTGCCTTCACATAAACACCAGGTATTTATGAAGCCGATGTGCTACTTTGCAATATTCGAATTACATAACGTCAGCCTTTAAAGGCCCTGACATTGGTAAAAAACGAGATGGGGAAAAGAAATGATGCCACATTTGTGAAATTTTGTATATCTGTAAACCAAGTAATTAAACAACAGACGTTTGTTGGTTTGTGTATGTGGATCAGTAGGGCTGTAACTATTCACCGATACCTACCATAGCATTGATACTAAGGTACAGATGATACTTGAATTGTCAGTTTTTGAGATCATGATATGCTATAAATAGAACAAAAATTGAAGAGAACTGTAGCAGTAGCATAGTGTAACTAGTGAGCCAGGCGGAACACGAGGAAGTGGTTATAGAGGACATGCCCGCTATTAAACTATTACATTTAATTACCATCCCTTCATTTAAAACTGTTTTGTTTGTCTTTGGGGATGGCAAGATTTGATTTTTGTGATAATAATAAATAAATGTATGAATCCAGAGGTTTTAGAGTTAAATTTCAGTTATTTCATCAATTTCTTTCTCTTTGTTGGTGAATCGTGATACTGGTGGTATTGTCAGTCTGTATCGTGATACGTATTGTATCACAAAATATCAGGCAGTACTCAGCTCTATGAATCAGTGAGATTACAATTCAAGACATTCTCTTCAGGCTGTGCAGGCTGTGAACTTCTCCCATGATGCTTGTCACTCACAGATGGATGTCAAGTTCCGCTCCCTCATCTGCTGTGGTCTCAAGTAGGTAGTCTTTAACATCAGTACCATTATTTAGAAAACATTTAAGTTAATTTTGATTTTTGTGTTTTTTGGAATTCATAATGTTTTATACACCTGACTGTTTGAATGTTAACATGGACAAATACTGTGCTGTACCAGGTATTTGTGAAGGTTAGTTAACTGAAACCAAAGCTTCATGTGAGCTTATGTCCATCTATATATCGGTTGACGGCTGTCATAGGAGCAGGATATAGGTTTTGTTAATGAGGAGAGCCTTTATATATAATGGTTATGTATTTTTGAATATCTTCAACCTAAGCCATGGAAGAAATGAACTCTTCTAAATGATGTGTTCATTTATACATTCCTCTTCATTGCTTTTTATTGCTGGTTTATCTGGGTTACTCTTGACTTGGAAAGTATGCGACAGAGGCAGTGACATATATAGATCCTATCTCTGGGCAATGGTGTGGTTTCCTGAATGACCTACTCCCCAGTGGGCAGTTTGCAGGGGCTCAGGTGCTGGGTCTGTCAGCGCCAAATTACCAGGATGATGCGGAGTGCCACAGCGTCACATCAGAGTCTTCATGAAGTGATGCAATAGTCGGCTGAAAATAAAACACTTGAAGCTAATTGGTGGGAAAGGCAGTCGATTTCCCTGTTATTTGTTGTGTCACCTTTCAAGTGCCTCTCCTCTCGTTTCTCTCCTGTCTCCCCCCACCTCCCACTACAGTGACTGCCACGCACTAGCAGTGGGTGAGCGTCGTTCGATGCGACAGCAGGTGGGGGGAGCGAGGTGGAGACGTGAAGAGGAGGATGTGATTAGAGCCACAACAACGACCCACTTCACACCCCACCTCTGAGGTTACACTTATATGGGTAATACAGAAGCGTGAATTGCCATACTTACGTAATGTAGTGTTCCTTTCATCAGCTCTCGTCATCAAAGGAGGGCAGTGACTGAGGAGGCTACTCTGAATAGGTTCAGATAGGTTCTGCTGTCTGTATCATCACATTAAATATGTGTATGCTATTGGAGCAATTAAGTTCATTGCTAGTTTTGGCCCCAACGCTTAGCTCTCCATTTCATGTTACAGCCTCTCATGAAGTGCTCACATAACTTTCATGTTTGTGATGTATTAAGACATGGACAGTTTAAGATCTTAACAATGAGACATCATTCTACCGAGAATTTGGAAAATACTTGAAGCTGATTGGTCAGTTAGAGGTTTCAAAACCAGTGGCCACCTCCATCAGGTGAAGCTAATGTTTATAGAAAAGTACTTCTGCCTCAGTCTTTGTTGGTTTGCATTCTTAAACAATGTGTACAATTACAGGTCAGTACAATATTGAAAAATCACCTATTAAGCACCTATTTTGAGCAGAGGTTTGGTGGAAATTCATTTTACTCTGTTTAAATCTACAGGTAACTGCATTCTACAAAGAAAACACATTATGCTTATCTCCTTCAGTTCAACATGATAATGATACAGGTGTTCCATCACACAAATATTGGATCAAGTTTGTTTTTACTTGTATCCACCATGTCTTGATATACCTGATATACAGGAGAATGTTTCTGGTATTTATGTTTGACACCTGTACCACAAAGCATTGACACCTGCCCCAAGGAGATTTGAGTGCATCTAATGCATGCATGATGCACCCATATGTAGTTAGAATGCACTTGATCTGCCATCCTTCTGGTACATAAACTAATGAAAGATGCATTATCATGAAGCAGATGTGTAGCTTCAAAACACCTGTTGTACCTGCATGCCTTCTGACACCTGGAGCACTAGGTGATCCTGTGAAGCACCTGCAGCATTTGTGTCAGTATTGATGCCTGTGAAACTCACACCACCTGTAGGACCCATGGCACCTGTAGTCCTTATGCCACATATAACATCTGTGGTACTCACATCACCTCTTGGGCCCATGTCAACTGTGACATCTCACATACTCACGTCAATTGTGACAACTGAAGTATTCAGATCATCTGTAGGACCCAGGACACCTGTACTCCTTATGCCACATATAACATCTGTGGTACTCACATCACCTCTTGGACCCATGTCAACTGTGACATCTCACATAATCACGTCAATTGTGACAACTGAAGTATTCAGATCATCTGTAGGACCCAGGACACCTGTAGTCCTTATGCCACATATAACATCTGTGGTACTCACATCACCTCTTGGACCCATGTCAACTGTGACATCTCACATAATCACGTCAATTGTGACAACTGAAGTATTCAGATCACCTGTAGGACCCATGTCAAGTATGACACCTGAAGCACTTGCATCAATTTTGACACCTGCACAGTATTAATGTTGCATGACACATGTAATAGTCATAGTTGCCTGTGACACTGTGGCACTTATGCTGCCTGTGACACCTGTGGTACACATGACACTTGAAGCATTTATGCTGCCTGTGACACCTGTGGTACACATGACACTTGAAGGGCTTATTCTGCCTGTGACACCTGTGGTACACATGACACTTGAGGACTTATGCTGCCTGTGACACCTGTGGTACACATGACATTTGAAGGGCTTATGCTGCCTGTGACACCTGTGGTACACATGACACTTGAAGGGCTTATTCTGCCTGTGACACCTGCGGTACACATGATACTTAAAGGGCTTATGCTGCCTGTGACACCTGTGGTACACATGACACTTGAAGGGCTTATGCTGCCTGTGACACCTGTGGTACACATGACACTTGAAGCACTTATGCTGCCTGTGACACCTGTGGTACACATGACACTTGAAGGACTTATGCTGCCTGTGACACCTGTGGTACACATGACACTTGAAGGGCTTATGCTGCCTGTGACACCTGTGGTACACATGACACTTGAAGCACTTATGCTGCCTGTGACACCTGTGGTACACATGACATTTGAAGGACTTATGCTGCCTGTGACACCCGTGGTACACATGACATTAGAAGGGCTTATGCTGCCTGTGACACCTGTGGTACACATGACACTTGAAGGGCTTATTCTGCTTGTGACACCTGTGGTACACATGACACTTGAAGGGCTTATGCTGCCTGTGACACCTGTGGTACACATGACACTTGAAGGACTTATTCTGCCTGTGACACCTGTGGTACACATGACACTTGAAGGACTTATTCTGCCTGTGACACCTGTGGTACACATGACATTTGAAGGACTTATGCTGCCTGTGACACCTGTGGTACACATGACACTTGAAGGACTTATTCTGCCTGTGACACCTGTGGTACACATGACACTTGAAGAGCTTATGCTGCCTGTGACACCTTCGGTACACACGACACTTGAAGGGCTTATGCTGCCTGTGACACCCGTGGTACACATGGCTTTTGAAGGACTTATGCTGCCCCTCACGCCTGTAATACTCTTGTGAGACAACAATTATAGTGTACAATATCTGTAGTACTCATTTGACATGACGACTGTAGTGCTCCTGACATGATACGTGTAGTACTCATGTGACACAACATATATGGTACTCATGACATGACACAAATAGAATTGATTTTACAAAACGCCTTTAATACTGATGTGATATGATACCTGTGGTACTCATGACATGATACCTGTGGTACTCATGACATGATACCTGTGGTACTCATGACATGATACCTGTGGTAATCATGACATGATACCTGTTGCACTCATTTGACATGACACTTGTAGTGCTCATATGACATGGAACCTGCAGTACTCATTTGACATGAAACCTGCCACCTGTGAAGATCTGGGTAGAGAATAGGTCTTGAGCAACCCATACTTGTCGTAAGACGCAAGACAGGATCGGGTGGCCAGGCTCCCTGACTTGATGATGCATGTCATCATATCCAAATTGCGTAGATCGATGCTCATAATGTCAATCACTAGATTGTCTGGTCCAGACTTGATTATTTTCAGACCGCTACCTATAGCTGGAATATTGCTGAGTGCAGCGTTAAACAACAAACAAGCAAACGAACATGAAACCTACAGTACTGATGTGACATGACATCTGTCATACTCACCTCACACCTGATACATGTCAAGTGACACATGTTTTTCCATTATACCTTTGCAAACATCCCAGAAGCAATAGACAAAGTAGAGCGTTTATCACCTGAAATAGTCCAGCCTACTAAAGGTGCAAGTTCTGTTCCAGTGAGCAGGTGCTGCACCTGTGGCTGGAGACTCTCTGCTCTTCCCTGGATGTAGTGGAGAAGTGGTACTACCCCTGGTCCTTCATCCGGTCCCCGGGCTGGGTGCAGATCAAGTGTGAACTAAGGTAGGTCGCAGCATCCATCTTTCCTTGGTGACCTACAGTCATCCTAATCTAACTGTTGTAATGTTGTAATCTGTGGTTCATGTCCAAAGTGTCAAAAATCTTTTAAATAGTAGGACCTAACTATTGAATGGCGAAATTGTAATGTTGTAATGTTTGAGCATCAGTGCCCAGGAATTAACTGTCTAAAATGTGAAGGAATTAGAAAGAGTTTAACAAAGCAATTAGTGGTACCGAGTTAACTTGTGGCTATGTCGGCATATCTCTTCTCCCTACTTCTCCCTAGTAGATTATGAAAGTCAAAATAAACATAGTTTTAAGAATGATAAAAGTCAAAATAATGTGATGTCATATATTTATACATTTGTTATGTTAATTCTATTGAACGGTGGCAATACATTGTTTTCTTTACACAGCACCGATCTGTTGACAGTACCTGGTGCAATGATCCTCAACCGACATTGAAATGTCGAAAATATTTGAGTGCATGAGCCCATGACCAACACCGAACTGTTGAATATCAAAACTACCTCTATTTTAGATTTTTGACATTTGGGCCAACACCTTGTCTGAGACCTGTTGTAACATTTAATGTTGGCAGCTTGTTTATCTCCATACATAAAGCCATACATATATCAATATGTCTGTTGTTGTTACTAGTTTTTCACTTGTTAAAACTTACTTTTTAGATTACCTTTTCTCTGCACCTTGAATATTTCTTGAATGCAACTGTGACTAACCTTTAGATCTGCTTGACAGTTTCCGCATTGATTGAACTAGTATTATTTGTAATTTGCAGCTGTTGTATTCACTTATGCTTTGTGTTTAATTTTACACAGAGATATCTTGAAATATTATGCTTATCTTTGCATATTTAAACACCTATCAACCTGTTTGCTTCAATGCTTCATTTGTTATGTTCTTTATCAATAATCAGTTTGAAAAAATATAGAAAGATAAATTTAGGTTAATGATTATATATTCCTACTGTTAAGACATGTGTTATCTTGTATATGAAAGTGTCCCAACTAAACCTTGATTTTATTGCATGTCAAGAATATGTTGCCAGATGATATACCTAGAGTACTGTCGGAAATGCTCAAAGAATGCTTTTTGCCCATTAAGGAGGGATAGATTTTATCACAGACTGTTGCTCTTGAAATATCGAGAAACTTACAATCAACCTACCTGTGGTTTGAAGTATTTCGGTCACAAGGAGTCCTAGCAACAATTTTACAGGAGAAAAATTCGAACAAAAACAGTAAGTTCAGATGATGAAAGTCTAAAACAGACTATAGAAATGGGTTTTCAATTCATATCAACAAGTGTATGGTATAATAAATATAAGAAAGAAGGTATAGGGGTGGTCTCAAAAACAATACGGGGACATGAAAGGACAGCTTTGATACATGTACTTAGGTCGATTTGCGTTATTTTGATAGCCCTGTGACTTTCGACAATACTTTAATCACTGATTTATTTAATGGCTTACCTGTAGAAATTCTGGGTCAGAATAGATCTCAGTACCTCTTGTTTGTTGTACTGCCTGATTAAAATGGCTTTCGGTTGGGCAGGCTCTGTGGCTTGGCTGATTGTGTGTCATCCAACCCTGATGGTGTGGGTATTGCTCATACCATCAACCATTGGTTTACCTACATTTTCTTACTTCTTAAATGGCTGCCCTACTCAGTTTGTTTTAAAATCTTGTTTTGTTTATTTGTTGTTTAACGCCGCACTCAGCATTATTCCAGCTATATGACGGCGGTCTGTAAATAATCAAGTTTGGACCAGGCAATCCAGTGATTGACATTATGAGCTTCAATCTACACAGTTGGGATATGATGATTTTCTATGGTCTTCAGTGGGCTAGCTCTGTAAGATTAAAAAATCAGTAGGTAACTGATGCCCCATGCTTGTGCGTTGCGTAATATGAGGATTGGGTGTTACCATTGTGTGACCTGGTTTATTGTGTATGTTATTTACCATGGTGATGTGGATTGATGCTCATGCTATCAACTACTGGTTTACCTGGCCTCAATTTGATTATTTAGAGATTATTTATAGATCACTTTGATACACTGTAAAAATTCTGTCTGCTCTGTAAAACAACACCCACTCACTTCTAAAATTGGAAAGGGGGGTAGGGTAGCCGTGGGTGCATTTGATCATTAGCTGACTAAAATGAGTGGGACACCAGGGGCTAGTTGTTAGGTATTTTGTTCCTTTATTGCTATCATGCAACAGAGGGTTGGTGAATGGTGTTTAGGAAATACACAATTGATTTTCTGGGGTGTGGGTTTCAAGAAGAAGAAAAGATAGAAAAATAGAATTGTTTTAGTAAATATCAAAAAAATAATTTTGCCTCAGGTTTTACTATCTAAAAAGTGTTTACTGTTACTAGACATGCTTGATGCTTTAAGAAACATGTGAAAAGCAGTGTGTCTTTAAATAGTGACCGGAAATAGTATATTTCTGTGTCTGCTAAACAAATCCCAGCACCCCCTCACTTTCCCACCACTGTTAAAAGGACAGACTCTTAGCTAATCTCAAGGTATATTGAATGCTTAGATGACTCTCCTAGCAAAGCAAAGGAAGGTATGGAGAGTCTTTGCGATTTTGTATCAGTTACCTGGCTCCCAACCCTGCCCTCTGAACAGATGTAGACAAAACTGCAAGCTGGCTATGAATGGCTCTATTATCACTAGCAATCTATTTTAGTTTACAAACTGCAACAGCATGTTATTATCATTTGTTTACACAGAATGGAAACTGTCTAGTCAGAAGAGCACCTTTGTGTGTTTTCTTTCTGTATAGGAGAGAGTGCATGCCTGCATTATAACCCTGCCTCACATTCCTAGCATACCCTTCAAACATTCACCTTTTCACTAGCAATCAGATTCCCCAAGCAGAAATGAAGATTTCATAACACAGACTCATCTATAATACATAGTGTCACTCACCCTTGGCTTATGACATAGATTGGTCAGTAAAGGGGAACAGTAATGGAGGATGAAGATCTGTGCAGATTCCGTGTATGTTTGTAATTCCTGAAATCTCCCATTTTTTGGCAGTCCTCATTTACAGACAGGGCATAAAGGTGATCTGTAGGTACTGACAGGCCCAACAGTGTTGTTGCCACTTAACTGTCACAAAGTGACGGTCTGACAGAAATATATGTGATTATCAAGTCCTTTCAATAAGGTTGCAGTGTTTTTCCAGGGCATACCCTTGTATGAATAAACAGCCGTCAATCTTGTAAAGGGTTTGGGGTTGTTTTTGAACAGATTCTCAGTTCTTATAGGCAGTTCTCCTGTCAAGCAGTCCGAATTTGAATGAGGAGCTCTATGATATCTTATCTTCTTGTTATAAATGTGTTATACACATGTATTTTTGAAGGTGACTGGTTTTAACTGTGCAGATGTCTGTTAAGTTCCGACAGCTGATCACTCAGGCGTGATGCATGTAAACACCTGAAAAAGGTGTTAGCTTGCAGTGTCTGTTGTTTATCTTAGGTTTTACTTTTTGGCCTGAAAGATTCCCACATTCCAAAGGTCGTTATCCTATTGTACTGTGACATCTCTTAAACGCATGTCAAGTTAGGTATCTCTCTGACTTGCCAATGGGTACTTTTCTATTCAACCTACTTTTGTTTTGGTTTGTTTCTGAGTTAATAGAGTTGGTTTCTTGTGGTAATGGTAATTGAAAGAACTGACACTATTAATACTTGGATTGCGGACACTATTCAGTTAATTGTAATAATGATTTCCTACATGAATAAGAAACCCAAGTGAGTTGGGTTTAACGCTGCTTTTGAACAGTATTCCAGTTAAATTCCGGTGTGTCAGCTTGATGTGGGTGGAAAGCCCAAAGTGATGCAGGTCTTAGGCGTTTAACACTTTGGTGAAGCCCACGAGCATGGGTACGGTGCTGACAAACCTAGAAACATAATCATGATGAATTGGGATTTGAACCCAAGATCATAGGTTTCTGGCGTGCCCCTTATGCAACTTTGCACAGGGAATTGCAGCGCCTTAGATGACTGGGCCACCTGGGCCCCCTTCAAGAAAAAGAATCCATACGATCAGTGTCTTCAGTTGCTATGTGAAAATGCTCTTAATGAAAAATAAGGAAAAGACTACAGTGGCCACCAAAGATGAACTTCAAAAGACATTGAATTAAGGCACATATCAACTATCATTATAAGCATATATTGTCCTGTCTGTGCGCTAGTGAGATGGATTGGACTGTTAACTTTTGTGAGTCCTCAGTAGATCCAGGATTTTTGATAATGTATTGTAATTTGATTGTGTCAGTCGCTTCTCCTACACTAAGCGGGCAGTTGCCTTTAAACAATAGCACTATTTGAGTGATGTTAAACCCTTCATCAGTAATGGTTGTGTCAGTCACTCCTCCCATGCCAAGCAGGTGGTTATGTTTTAGCAGAAGTATTACTTGAGCTCCCATGGTATGCAGGCAAATTGCTTCTAGCAGTAGCATCATTTGAGATATGTTACACCCTTCATCCTTCATCACTTAAGGTTGTGTCAGTCACTTCTCCCATGCCAAACAGGTGGTTGTGTTTTAGCAGAAGCAGTGCTTGGGCTCCCATCCTAAGAAGCCAGTTGTCATTGAGCTGAAGGATTACTTGAAAGATATTACACGCCTTCATCCTTCATCACTTGTGTCTCCTTCATCACTCTCCGAAATAGTTGGTTGTGATTAGCATACGCATTACTGGATAGGATTTCCACCCATTATCAGTAATGTTGTGTCAGTCTCTTCTTCTCTCATGCTAAGCAGGTGGTTGTGTTAAAGCATAAGTGTTACTTGAGAGATATTCCACCCCTTCATCGGTAAACAAGGCAGTGATCAGTGACTCTGCCAAGCCTTCACTACCGGAGATGAGGCATCACAGTAGTCCATGTTATGTCAGACTGGAGATCCACCAACCTTCGCCTGTCAGTGCCATCAAGTTGCAATCAGTTTCCCTCATTTCATTCTGT